GGAAGGAAGGAAGGAAGGAAGGAAGGAAGGAAGGAAGGAAGGAAGGAAGGAAGGAAGGAAGGAAGGAAGGAAGGAAGGGAGGGAGGGAGGGAGGATGTAGAAAAGTTTGAACAAGCTTACTTTTTTAAATCAATGAGCAGCAGCTGTTTATGTTACTTTACAACATTATTTATGTATGTACTGTGATTAATTACTTTGCTCAAATTAAGACTCAACTTCAGTGTAACATTACTTTTAATCAATGGCAAATTATTACAGTCATGTTCTATGTCATATAGGCTTCGCCCTTTAAGGCTGTCGCTGATGGGTTTATCCCGTTATGCGCAGCATAAGCACTGAAAAAATTTAGTCCACGCCCACCTGCTGTGTGGGCCCCACCCGGTCCATATAAATTACGTTAAGAGCGGGAAATCGGCTCCCATTTTTTCTTCAGCGAGCTAATATAGCACTGTCAGAAGAACAAAGAGGATAAATTGTGTAAATGACCAACCTTTGTGAAGGATGCTTGGCCCGGCAGTCGACCTCCGGTCGTCCGGTGAGTTCTCCTCCCCGAGGAGAAGATGACGAGCAGTCTTATTCCAAGGTAAGCGTCGGGGAACATTTCCCAGTGACAGGTCACTACACGCTGGACAACGCCATCTTGTATTTTTTCCTCTTATCGCCGACCCTCAGGGCGAACCGGATGGTCCCTCCGGGGCAAGGCGTGCTCAGCTGCAGCCCCCGCTGCTCATTCCCTCCTGGGGAGCGTAGTGTAGGTGGAGGGGGGCTGAGTGAATGCTCACCCCATCCCACCTCGTTTCGCATCGGCGATGACACCGCTCCCGGCCGACAGCGCCCTCACGGTTGCCCGGCGGAACCCAGGAGGAGGCTGACATGAAGGGACCCCCTTTTTTTCTACGTCCCACGCCTTTTCCCGCCAGTTCGGATGATCGGCGGGAAGGTTGTTTTTCACTGGGCTCCACTGTGGCTCACCGTCTTGATCCATACGGCCTCGCATTCCAACAGGACGTTCGACGGGCGAGGCCACAGACGGTTCTTTCCTGGTAGATTGGAGGAGTCGGTCCCCAGTCCACTCCCATCACCAGAGTTGAGGGATTCACCGAGCGGGGCTATTCCTCGGTAACCCCCCTGGAGCCAAGCCTCGCGGAAGCTTTCGGAGCGAAGCTGCCCAGGTCGGAGCAGCGTCCTGTCCCTCCGGAGGAACACGAACCAGACGGTGACCACGCTCTCCAATCGAGCCCACCGATGTGTTTTTCAGGCAGCCGCAGCTAGCAACAACGTGCGCTGCTAGCATATAGCATGTCCAAGGGACTGAAGGCCGCAGACCTGCCTTGGAGACAAAGAACTCCCTCTGTAAGGCAGCTGACGCCAGCTCAACATATGTGCCTCTCCTACGGTTTGCCTGTCGAGGACTGCAGCGTGGATGACGATGATCCAACGATCCACCTGGCTTCGTTACTCCCCTCGCTGCCGGAGAAACTGCACAAGACCTGATGAAGCCCATCGCGGACGCGCTGTTCAGAGCAGCTTCAAACCATGCTGGCGAATTGAAACAGTTGGAGGAGGTGCCAGAGGCTGTGCACCACCTCATCAAGCCGCGCGGCTCATCCCGGCCCGCTGGAGGGACCGTCGCGAGCAAGCTTCGACTTTTCCACGGCCGCGGCTCTCGCTGAGTTCCACCACCAGCCCCGCCCGTCAGAATTCAGCCCTCTTCATTCCGGCAACCTGCAGCTCAGCGTTTCCCCAGAGTTCGCCTGCAAGACAGCGCTCTGGGCAAACAATCGCAGAGCTCATGAGAGAGAAGTTTCTCAAAATGACGGTCTCCGGAGGGTGTGTGTAAAAGTGACACGAAAGTTGAAATAAATCATCATTTAATGATCAAAGTGTCTGTTTTTTAGCCAGTCTGTAAGCTCAGATGAGCTCACAAGCGGCCGCACACATAAAGAGCCGGTGTCCTTAATAAGGTTTTTTAAACTCACCGCCGCTCCAAGACATTACTAGTCGATCACACGGCACAATGGTAAGCGAAAATAACTCGTTATCAACTAGAACTGCACGATCCTCACTCAAGCGGTGTCAACTCGCACTCGTGGGATGAAACAGCCTCCACACATGAGCCGGTGTCCTTAATTAAAGGTTTTTTAACTCACCGCCGCTCTAGACATGACGAGTCGATCACACGACATGATGGTAAGCGAAAATAACTCATTATCAACTGGAGCTACACGATTCTCACTCAAGCGGTTCCAACTCGCACTCGTGGGATAAAACATAGGAGCCGGTGTCCTTAAGGGTTTTTTAAAACTCTCCGCTGCTCTAAGACATGACGAATCGCTCACACGATCCTCACTCAAGGATGAAACAGCCTCCATCCAACGGCGCTGCGTTGATGCTGGCGCACACACACAGCTGCCCGGCGCTAACCGGCTCACATCGGTATAAATGTG